AATTTACATATCTTTTAATCCTCAAACAGACCTATCAAAGGGCAGTAGCTTAAAGGGCACAATAAACATTCTGTCTTTAAACATAGCATACCTAACTTTTCTGCAAGATATGTTTAAACTTAACTGGTGGCTTACATGTAGATCTGGTAACCTTTTCTAAAACAAGTTCACTGCAGGAGTTCTCTCTGTAGTTATAAATCATTTCACAGCTATCATGTGGACATACACATATCTTATGATTTAAGAGTCCGTATTAATACTGAGAGAATATCATTTCACAGTGTAACCTGCTCTTGCATTCTTCAGCTGCAAAATGGAAAATCCTCTGGGTTCTTTAACTGTCTGAAGATACCGTTGAATTTTACATAGTGTCTTCATGGCTCTAAGCTAGAAAGCATCTGTCCCTAAAGTAAGATTTAGTGAATGGATTTGCCCTGCAGTGTGTTTGAAAGCTGGAAGATAATGACATTTATAGAACTGCAGTAAAAAGGTGGAGGGGGACACTACCTTAGACTCTTCTGTATTTTGCATAATATTCTAAAGAAAACTGGTGGTATTATTCAAGATGAAAATAGAGATAGGAGCTTAATTTTCTTAAAACAATAACAACTAAATAAATAACTAAACGGGACATCATTGAAAACACAGATCTAGAAGTTTAAACCAGTATACAACAAAATGTTCCATACACAAAAGAATACCTTTCAACTTCTGACAAAATAAAGTATTTCAGATGCATGATCATTAATAAATAAAAATAATACAACTGGAAACTGCAACAGTGTGTTACTGTGTGTGCACTGGGAAGGCAGGGTGGGGGTAACACAGAGCTCACACAATGATCTTTGGTATCAGGACTGGAACGCTAAAAGCAGGTAACCTCTTGTTCCAGAGGGCGTGAAACACGACAACTGGATTTTTGTGTGCTGCATTGTAGGGGAGAGTTACAGAGTGGTCTGTATTGGGGTCGTGTTTAGAATAAGGTTATCAGACGTCCCCGTTTCCCAGGGACAGTCCCCGGATTTACAAATCAGTCCTCTGACAAAATCCACTGAATTTGACTGAAGTTGAAAAGTGTCCCCGGATTCATTGAAAAAAAATAGTTTAGAAGTCTGGTGCTATAAGCAAAAATTATTCCAAACCACTGTTGGTAAAACTGGGTAGGGGGTGTGATTCTGTGGTTTGCCTCAGGTGCCAAAATGTTTTGGTCTGGGCCCTGCTCTGAACACTCCTCAAGTGCTTTTGCCTGGCTGCTTTTGCCCGGCTGGAATGTATCCCAGAATTGTGATGATCTCTCGTGTTTATAGTGTGCGCACAAACAGAAACCTAGCATTTTTACATGGCTTGAATGTAGCCTATTATTGTATATACAAAGGTGAGATACATCCCTTCCTCTGCCCGCTCTTTGCCTTTGGTCCCCCCCAGCAATGACATGCAGCCCTCTGAGAGCTCCTCAGAAGGGAACATGGCTCTGGGACTGAAAAATGTTTCTCATGTCTGGCCTAGAGTAACCAAGGCTGCTGCTCCACACTACAACTAAACACTTTGGTACTACAAGGCTTGGGCTTAATATTTCCAAATCCCATTGTGGGGAGATTTCCACCTTAATCTAGAAAGCTGTCTGGAAAAACCATCTGCAAGGCTATTTTGAAGGAAACAGATGGAAAAGGAAGTGATTCCTCTGAATGTAGTATAAGATTTACATTATCCTCCATGAACTTCCATGTAGTCCCTATGTTTATATTTTATCATTATTTCCTTAGACAGCTCAGATTAGGAAGCCTGCATGAGCTCATGCTCTTGTTAATTTTGAGCCTGAACTATTTGCTTTTATAGATGATTTCGGTCATGTAAAATAAAAGGGAGTAGTAAGGAATAGAGGCACGAGACTGAACTGTGGCAGGACTCTCATCCTTCTTAGGCTGTACAGCCTTCTCAGGCATATTCCAGCTTCCCCAATAAAAGGGCTGCTAGTTTTTCTGAGGCTCAAAGTACATATTGAGAAAGACAGATAATAGATATCCCAAGCTTCCCCCTTCAAGCTGATCTCCTTTGCGGAATTATTGTCCAATTTCCTATGCATTTTCAAAATATATTTATAATACAAGCTTGGGTGTCCACCTTTCAGTTTACTCTCTCCCATAAAAGGAGAGAAAATGGAAGTGGAAGAACATGTTGGAAATGTTAGAAGAAGGCTGATGGTGGCAGCAACATGGCTTGCTCCCTTCTCTCTGCTTCCTTGCCTTGAGATTTAATACTTTCACCTGGGAACAGGTTAAGACCGCAACCCTATACTTCTTTACTTGGGACTAAGTCCCACTGGACCTCGTGGGACTCACTTCTAAGGAGGCAAGAATAGGTTTCAGGCCAATTTTAGGTTAGCCCTTGAGACCTGGTAACCCTGTCAAAAGCCAAATCAATATTTCTATGCTAGTCGCTATACTGATTGTGTTCAATGCTCAAATGAGCATTAACCCGCTAACTAGAACTGCTAGCGGGGAATTGCTGGTCAGCGCATTCGTAACAAAACCACTCTATCATTGCTGAAAAATGATTCCAAACCATAAATTAGGTTATCTCCATTATTTCTAAAGTAATAAGGTTTTCTTTTTAAAAAAATCAAAAACCAGCAGCTTGGTTTTAGGAGATGTGACAAGTTGAAGCCTGTGAGCTATTGCAAAGAATGTGTTGTTTGGGAGTGTGGGTGGAAAGAAGCACTGGCAATCAGCAGACCACCAGGATCCCAGTTAAAGATGCTGGAACCCACCCAGACCCTACTGATAGCTTGAACTGGAGGAGGAGCGGGCTTATATAGAAGTAATCTATAAAGCTGCCTGGCAAACACAGTGGAAGACAGCTTCTTAGATTCCTAAGGGAGCCTCCCTTTCCAGGTGCTACAGAAGTCTTTTCCTGTGGTTTGAAGGTGTGGGCAGGACCCAGTGAGCAGCTGACCAGCAGGATACATCACCATCTTGATAGATTATAAAGCTTACAGATCTCCTAGACTTCGGGCCTCTGAGTCCCTCACCATCCCTGAATCAAGCAATGGCTGTTGATATTTCTAGTTTTCTTGTCTGTCATGTGTACAGTGGTACCTCAGGTTAAGTACTTAATTCGTTCCGGAGGCCTGTACTTAACCTGAAACTGTCCTTAACCTGAAGCACCACTTTAGCTAATGGGGCCTCCTGCTGCCGCCGGAGCACGATTTCTGTTCTCATCCTGAAGCAAAGTTCTTAACCTGAAGTACTATTTCTGGGTTAGTAGAGTTTGTAACCTGAAGCGTACGTAACCTGAGGTACCACTGTAATTCCTTCTAATCCTGCTAAGCACCTGTACTGCTGTACTGGACACCAACATCTACAAAGTGCTTCCCCTCCTACCCACTTACATCTCCCTTGGCACCCCTCCCAAGGAGTCGTCTCCCCCCCCCTCAGACTTTGGTTTCTCCTTCCCTAGCTGTGGGCTGACTCCCTCTCAGATTCCCTGGCTGTGTTCCTTTGTCTCAAAGAGAAAGAGAGATGAGACTCCTGCTTCCCCAGCTGAGGCAACAGGGCCCTGGGAGCCGAAAGCATCTGTTCCCCCCCAGCCTCTTCTCTCTGGGCTCAGCCCCCATCCGAATGTCATCCTCTTTTCTCTCCATCTTCACCTGTCACAGCCGGTCACTCCACTCCTGAGCCAGTCATGCCTCAGGACTCAAGAAAACACTGCCATTTTTTTAGTAATACCTGAAAAGAGCTTCCCCATCCTTTCATGGATCCTGAAATAGCTTCTGATCCTCAGTGTCTCCTCTATTATACTCACTAAGGATGTTATGCTCATATTATATAAAAGTCTACTGTAGTTTTCCATGTTAAGCAGTGTGTAATAACTACCATGTTCCGGCTCTGTGTTTGGAGTCCGTAAAATGGTTTAGAGCTCCCATTTCATCCATAAATATTCATTGAAAAGGTGAGAAAACAACCCTTTTAAACAAGACAGTGTGACAAAGTGGGGTTAATGGCTGTTTAATCGGCCAATTCTGCATTGCTAGAAGGTGTTGTCTGTGGGTCTACCTTTGAAAATGGCCTAGAAAGTTCGGTCAGGCCAAAATAACCTGGCCAGATTGTCAACTGGGACTGGCTAAAAGGATCATATTATGCCAGTGCTCTGTAATCTACAATGACAGCTAGTCTCTTTATAGGCCCTAAGCATCTTCCCATATATACCTACCCAGATCTTAAGGTCATCTTCTGAGGCGCTTCTCCAATTGCACCTGCTGAAGGTGGTGGCAACTAGAGAGAGGGACTTTTCAGCAGTTTGCCTCTTTAAATATCATTTTAGTCTTTCGGTTTTAAAAATTTGTTGTTGTTTATCAGGGGTCAGCAACCTTTTTCAGCAGGGGGCTGGTCCACTGTCCCTCAGACCTCATGGGGGCAGGCGATTTTATACACACACACACACACACACACACACACACACACACACGAATTCCTACGTCCTACGACCCACAAATAACCCAGAGATGCATTTTAAATAAAGGGACACATTCTACTCATGTAAAAACACATTGATTCCCGGACCGCCTGCAGGCTGGATTTAGAAGGTGATTGGGCCGGATCCGGCCCTTGGGCCTTAGTTTGCCTACCCCTTTAGATCATTAAACTGCTGTTGGGTTTATTCCGTGGCTGTTTTAATTTGCTTTAGCTTCATTCTTTTATAATTATTATTTTGTTTTGTGGTTTTTAACTTCTGTTTTGTCACCATTTGGCTATAAAGAAATGTTAGTAAAAAAAAAAAAGTTTAACATGCATCTGATGAAATAAGATTCTTGTTTGCGATGTTGTCCTTGTTTAATCTGCATAAAATCCTCTTGTTTATTTACCCTCAAGTATTTCTGTTCATTACATGTCAATGTCAGATTAGCATTACAGATGTATGGAGCTATATGAATTTAGCACACAGCAAATAATACACACACACACACACACACACACACACACACACACACACACCCTACTTACCCGAGCTGGCTTCTTCTGGGTCACCTGTTGTGGCTGCAAAGAAAAGTAAAGAAAGATATTATTTAGATGGCTTATGACAAAGGAAAGTCTCCCCTTTCTCATACAGTCGTACCTTGGATCCTGAACGCCCTGGAACTTGGGACGTTTTGGCTCCCGAATGCCGCAAACCCAGATTGTTCTGGTTTGCAAATGTTCTTCTGGAACCCAAACGTCTAACGGGGCTTCCGTGGCTTCTGGTTGGCTGCAGGAGCTTCCTGCAGCCAATCAGAAGCCGCAATTTGGTTTTTGAACGTTTTGGAAGTCAAACGGATTTCCGGAATGGATTCCATTCGACTTCCAAGGTACGACTGTACTGTGTAACAAAGCCTTCCTCAATGTGGAGCCCATCAGGCTGTGCTGGATGATGCTCATGGGAACAGTAGTTCGAAACATCTGGAGAATCCCAGGTAGGTGAAGGCCAATGTAACATACAGTGGAAAAACCTCAATTTTCAGGATTATGTGTGATATGATGTGTATCCTTTTTGATTAGTATTATATACTTATAAATTTCCAGTCTGGGCATTAGGAACAGGTTAACTTTTACAGTACAACAATACAGCTGGGAAAGACAAGAGATTGTTTGCATATTTTCTACAATTATTCTAATTTAGCTGCACATACTTTGTATAACATTCCCATGGCATACATGAAAATAATGTAAACAAAAACTACAGTTGAGGGATATTTGCAGAATTCTATTAGTCTTCATGGAATTCCAGTAAATATAGGTAAAGAGATAACAGTACTGTAACTTTATACAAAGTCCACCCCCCATACAGTGGTACCTCAGGTTAAGTACTTAATTCGTTCCGGAGGTCCGTTCTTAACCTGAAGCACCACTTTAGATAATGGGGCTCCCACTGCTGCCGCACCACCAGAGCACGATTTCTGTTCTCATCCTGAAGCAAAGTTCTTAACCTGAAGCACTATTTCTGGGTTAGCGGAGTCTGTAACCTGAAGTGTATGTAACCTGAAGCGTACGTAACCCGAGGTACCTGTAACTGCTTTTGAGGCCATCCAGATTTGTGTACATCATTTTTGTTCAAAGTATCCCTGTATTGTAGAGTTGGGAGGGACCTCAAGAGTCATCTAGTCCAACCCACTGCAATGCAGGAATCTTTTGTCCAACGTGAGGCTCAAACCCACAACGTTGTAACTGAATCTCATGCTCTACCAATTGAGCTATCCCAGCTGCCAACTGACATTTTGCTGCATTGGTCTGTGTATCTGAAACTTAGGTAGGGAGAGAGTTTCTTGTTTTTCTAATGCATTCATGGTGATTTTTCTTCTCATTATACCAAGCAGAGGACTAAAATACAATGGTGGTTTGAATAAGAAGAGTCTGGTTTCAATCCTTTTGGAGAATGCAGAGATTCCTTAAAACAATGAACTCACAGCTTACTGTATTAAGGAGATATCATGCAAGGAGTCAAATCTCTGCAGACAAAAAGTCTATATCCTCTGAAGTAGAACATAAGGGTCCATGGGAGACCAATGTAGGTCCAGGTTTGCAAAATCACCCATGGCTCAACTTTCTAGACATGTTACCAATTCATTTATTTTTTAATCATTTTTTTTAAAGTTTCCATTTTATATAAATATAGCACACTCTAGTTTTTGAATTATATTCCACTCTCATGAGCACTCGACTCCCCTCCCTCCCGGCCCATGATTACCTTAAATTATAATCTTTTTTAAAATTGCATTTCAATTTTCCCTCTTCAGTCTCTAGTCAATTCCAATAATCACTAAATTATATTAATTGTAAATCCGTGCTTTCTGTAAACTATCAAGCTTTAAATCAGTCCTGTCAGTGCTGTTAAATGTTTACAATTATCCCTCAAATACTCTATAAACTTTTTCTAGTCTTTTTGAAATGTTTGATCCTGCTGGTTTTGAATTTTCCCAGTCAATTTCGCCAACTCAGCATATTCCACCATCTTTGTCTGCCAGTCCGGGATCGTTGGTACGTTATCATAACATTTTAGCTCCCCACTTTTGAGTTCCCCATCACACTTGAGTTCAAATGAATATGTGGTCAGCCTGGAGTGTTCCCCAGCGCTGTTGAAAATCCAGCCTGTTTCTTAAAGCATAAAGCAGAACTTGTGACTTTTCAAAGTCAAATGCAGCCCACATACTATGTACAGCACCCCCGTAAACCTTTGGTTTTGTTGCCTGTGGCCACCAAACATGGTTGTAGAACACCCGGCAGGTAGGCTGCATTTAGCCTGGTGGGTCACAAGGTGTATACATATATCCTGGCTTTAAAAGCTAGTCTGCCACCCACCTGTCTTGACCATTAGCATCTATTCTTACATCTCCTTTCATTCTTCAATGCTAAATTCCTTAAAATATGAAATGCTTGCTGAAGACCACCTGAAAATCACACCCTTTGCAGATCTGTGTGATCTGGCTGTGCCTACTCAGCTGTGAGGTAAAGAAGTTCAGAAAGGCACTTTCTTTTTAATTACTTCACAGCTTCACAGAATAAATCCTGCCCATTTTGACAGAATGCTGCCCCCACTTCTGATCTGGCAAGCCAACTCCTTCTCCTCTTTCAATTCCCTCCTCAAGCTCACATTTCCCCCAGCAAATTATTTCCTGCAGCATACGCCTCACCTGTTCCACGCCAGCTGTTACCAGTTAAATGGACTCATCCTTTCTAGTTTATAAGGTAAAAAGGGAAAGGGAAAGGACCCTTGGACAGTTAAGTCCAGTCAAAGGCAACTATGGGGTTGCAACGCTCCTCTTGCTTCAGGCTGAGGGAGATGGCATTTGTCCACAGACAGCTTTCTGGGTCATGTGGCCAGCATGACTAAACCGCTTCTGGTGCAATGGAACGCTGTGACAGAAACCAGAGCGCATGGAAATGCCCTTTACCTTCCCACCACAGTGGTATCTATTTATCTACTTGCACTGGCATGCTTTCAGACTGCTAGGTTGGCAGGAGCTGGGAAAGAAACAGGAGCTCACCCCGGCGCGGGGATTCAAACTGCCCACCTTCTGATCAGCAAGCCCAAGAGGCTCAATGGTTTAGACCACAGCACCACTCACGTCCCATTAGGTTATAAGAAACCCTACTGAAGGACCATAGTTCAGTGGTAGAGCATCTGCATACTGAAGGTCCTAGGTTAGATCTCCAGCATTTCCAGGTAGGTCTAGGAGAAACCCTGGACACAATAGTGTCCGTGTGAACACTATTGATCTAGATGGACCAATGATCTGACTCAAAGGTAGCTGCCTAAGTTCTTCTGTATTCTGTCCATTAGTAAACCTACTGGTATTAAGCAAGTGTACTGTCACAAGGCAGGAAAGCTGTGCCATTGGACCAATGGGATAATTATTCAGAAGAGGTGTGGGGAACCTTTGACCTGCCAGATATTACTAAACTACAACTCCCATCAGCCCTGGCAAGCATGAGCTATCACCCAGGTTACTGGTAGCTGCCTGGGAACCACATGTATACTGTCTTGATTTCCATGACAGACTAAAGGCGGGACAGAAATGTGAGAAAACTAAAAATAGAAGCAAGGTTCATAAGGGTCGTAGCCAATGTTAATCCTACTCAGAGTAGAAGCACTGAAATTAATGAACATGACTATCCCAAGCCCAATGATTTCAATGGGCCTACTCTGAGTAGCGCTTAGTTGGATGCAACTCAATGTCCTGTCAAGCTGCACATATTCCTGCTTTCTAGGCAGTTATGTGCAGGGAATATCTACATAGTGAGCGGCTTTCCAGGATCATAGTGCCTGCGTGTAGTGCAAGTTGGAATTTTTTTTAAAAAAACCACCTCTCTGTGGGGTCCATAATATTTGAATAGGCCCTCAGTAGAAACTTTGGGAAATGCTGAATTAGAACATGGCAATAAACACATGGAACAAGCATCCACTGCCATCATGGAAGGAGACACTCCAGAACTGAAGAATAAATTCCAGCCCTGCCAAAGGAGAATTCTTAAACAGAGCACTCATTCATTCACAGCCATTCTCCAATTTGCCTTAGCAATTACTGCAGGATCAAAGCCATACAACACCAACTAAATGATACAACGTTATATACCATGGGTTAGATCTCTCATTGTTATATATCAACAATTATTAATTTTCTTCAGTTGAATAATGTCTTCCCTGTTTTAAGCCTTAAATGGCTTCATTTTGAGTCACACAGTTTTTCCATGTGAAAGCTAGGAAACACATAAGTAATCTAGAAATTGTATTCCCTCCCCCCCCCCCCGGACCAAACTTTTGGTGGAAATCTGAAAATCGAGTTTTCTAGCGGCATGTCTCTTTTTCAGAAATGAAATGGTTCGAGGAAGACGTAAAAATCCCACCCCCCTCTCCGAGGCAAAGAAAAAAGATTGAACTAGTTTGTAGTAGTACAATCAATCTATCCAGGATCACAAATCCACACTTTTTAAATTACAAGCCATAATCTAGCAGGCAAAGACGTTATCAGCCTTTAGACAGCAAAAGTCCTGAATGAGTAACATTCCTATAAACTTTGGTCTGCATCCAATCAGTCAAAGTACAATGTTTTCCTTTTGCTGTTTTCATGAATGGCTGCAGTATTGTGCCTCGGTTCAGTCAAGACTCCTCTTCTACAGCCATTCATAAAAATAAAAACAAACCAAAACAAACATGCACAAAAACTTTCTGGGTCCAGCCTGGAGCCACTGGGTGCCAGAGGCTGAGAAAACATACTGGCAGCTCCAACTCCAAACAGCATTGAAGTATTCAGGGATCTGCTTGGTGGTCTGTAAAGTATGAAGTGCTGTGTGGAAGGGCAGCTGGTAGAATTACTGTGACACATACTAGGCAGTCAGCCAGAGTTGGCCTGGTTTCAGACATTGTCTTTCCTCTCATTGAAGTGTCAGGACCTAATTCATGGAAAATTTGGTGAATTGGCAGCTGTTTCAGAGGATTTCATTGAGTTGCAGTGTGCAGGAGTCACATGAATGCAGGGTACTCAGCCAAGAAATAGGGGGATTTC